TTTTTGATTGGTTAAAATTATATGACAATATCATAAGGTCATAAATATTTATAAATGACAAATGACAAATGACAAATGACAAGTCATGTAAGTCATATAGGTCATATGATGTCATATACCAACACTGACATAATCCGCTCCGCGTCTTAAGCAGATGATAAATCAATAATTTTATATTATGATTTTTTTTTTTACAATAATTATCTAAATATTTTGAGGAAATCTTTTTTTCCCAAAGAAAAATAAATAATTTTTACACGCTTTTTACTCCTAATAAACTATCAACATGAGTATGTATTTATACGAAAACCGTTTAAAATCTTTTAACTCAAAAAAGAAAAAATGGCCATATAAAGCTTCTGATGGATATAAAGCAACTCCGGAAATCGTAAATATGACTAAAGTTCAAATTTATTATGAAATCTTTCTTTTGTTCATTAAATATCATTTTTTAATTAATAGCTAGCAAAAGCAGGGTTTTATTTTAAACCGTATCCAGAATCTCCAGATAATGTAATTTGTTTCTTATGTCATAAATCGATGGAAAATTGGGATCCAACCGATGATCCATTGGAAGAACATGTTAATCATTCTCCAGATTGTGCTTGGGTTATTTGTCGATGTATTAAAAGAACATTCCCTGATGATGAATCATCTTTTAGTTGGGATAATAAGGAACAGTTGCCCACTTCAAAGAGAATGGAAGAAGCTAGATTAAAAACCTTTGGCAATTGGTGGCCTCATGATAAAAAAAAAGGTTGGGTTGGAACTAGTAAAAAGGTATCGTTTAAGAAATTAAAAAAAGAATCCTAACGAAAATTTAGATTTTCTATACCTAACGCGATTTTTCTCTAAAACTCAGATGGCCAAGGCGGGATTTTATCATGCTCCAACTTTTGAATCGATAGATTTCGTAACTTGTATGTATTGCGAAGTTGGGCTAGAAGGGTGGTTACCTAAGGACGATCCTATGTAAGATTTCGTAAGATTTGTTTTATTTTTACTTTTTTTTTGCGTTTTTGGATGAAAATTATACAAATATATAAATAGTAATTCAAAATATTTACTTAATAAATCAAAAGTAAAGAACATCATAAAAGGCTTCCTTCCTGCCCATTTTTTGCTAAACCAGCTTCAAAATTAAAAAAAGAAAAGGTAGCGGCACCTCCTTCTATCAATGATAGCTCTCGAAGAAATATAGATAATGCTATTAAAATAGTTAAAGAGGAGGAATTGGATGAACCAACAGATCAGATAAATGAAGTAGTTGAACAAGTTGATGATATTATAACAATTGAAAAAGAAATTGGCGAACGATTAGATAATGCTATAATAATAGAGGAAGATAAGGTATTCAAATGTATATATATAAACTTTATTATTATTATTTTGTCCATTTATTCTGATTTTATTTATTTGTTTCAGGAAGCAAGTTTAGATATATTACAGAACGATCCCAAATTTGAAGATGAAATCGTCAAAGGTAACAGCAAAGAACCATCCAATGATATAGAAATTATTGATTTGACTAGTGATGATGTCAAAGATGACGAGTCGAGAGAAATATTACCAATCAAATGCGAAGTTATAAACTTAGAAGAATCAGAATTTGATCGAAAAAATGAAGAAGAAAATATATCTGTTACTGAAAAATTTAATAACGAATTTCTGAGTATAGATGATGATAATTTAAATGTAGAAAAGGTTACATCTAATGAGCTCATAATTGAAAGTTCTGAAGTTAAAAGATCAGTCAATCTCATTAAAAAGAAATCATTGGAATACTTGATCAGAGGTTCAACGAATGTTGGAGGTGAAGAAAAATCTATCCGTGAAAGCAAACTGACGGAACCACCAGTCAAAAGATCAATTGGTTCATTTAATGAACTTAATGTGAATAGTATAAGTTCTTATGTCCAAGAAGACAATAGAGAAAACGACCTTTCAAATTCAGATGATAATGTAACAAGTCTGGAAATCCAGAGATTATCAGCTGAATTAAAAATACATGAATTAAAGATCCTAGAAAGTATCTCTGATAACGCTGATGATTTTGATATAATTCAAACAAAAATGAGTGATATTGATCTGAATAAGGAAAGTAATGAAAAGATTATCAGTCCACACACGTCCAATATGTGTTCCAATCTTACAGCTTCTGAAGGATTGATAGAATCACGAATTATTCAGCCTATGTCGCATATCCCTCTAGCTAAACATACTCCTGAATCTACTGAGCCAACACGTACTATTTGCAATAAGATTAAACCTTCAACATTCATTACACCTAAAGAGCAGAATGGAAGGGCAGCATTTACCGTTGAAGATTATTTAAGAAGTTTAACAGAAACCCAACATATGAGACTGGTTGAGAAAACAAATCAAAAAATAGAAACTTTAATAGAATTAAAGAAAAAAGCTAAAGAAGCAATTTTATCAATTCCTATAATATAAATTCTTTCATTTGTTGTACTTGATTACGATTGTAACATATAATAAAAATTTTGTTGTGTCGGATAAAATTGGTTTATTTATGATTTTAATAAATATACTCAACCATAAATACTTCAAATTAAAGAATATTAAATTGATAGTATTAAAATAAAGATTCCTCCAAAAATATCATTTGCAAAGCGAACTTGGAATTAGCGGGTACTTATTTTACCTTTGAAAGAAATTTGGGAATTTTATATTAGAAAACAAATGACAATAGTAACTAACACCAGCAAATTAATAACGGAAAGAAAGGTAATTTTACTTAAAATTACAATGAAGAAGTATGAGCCAAATCTTGATTTTCTTTAATTGCATGTTTATCTTCCTCGTTTGTTTTTTCAGAAGTTTTACATGATGCCGACGAAACTGTATCTCCATCTTTTGGAGCCTGATTATGCTCGTCATCTAATGCAATCTCTTGTTTTTCGTCTCGGGGAGATGTTGCCGAACTAGTCTCCATGTTTTCTAGTTGTTCTGGTTTCATTTTAGAGTCGGATGCTTGTAATGTTTGTTGCCCTGTCTTCATTTCAGAATCGGTTTTTTGTATTTCTTGTTGCTCTGCAGAATCAGTTTTTTGCGTTTCTTGTTGCTCTGCCATCATTTCTTTATTCTTTTCTTCCTGTTGCTTTGTTTGTTCAGGTTGATCTTTGTCACTTTCCTGTCCGGTGGGCACATCTTCCATAATAATATCATCATCCATAGCAACTGTTGTTTTTTCTTGGTTAACAAGTTCTTTTTCACAATCCTTTTCTTCCTTATTTTCTTTTTCTTTTTCTTTTATTATCTCATTTACATCTTCCATATCAATATCAGTTGAGGTAGTCGGGCCATTCTTAGTAGCAACATCCGTCGTCGCGATACCTGTAGTTGCTTCTTCCTGTTCAATTATTTTTTTTCCCCCCTCCTCTTCTTCCTTATTTTCTTTTTCGTTTTCTTTTCTTTTCTCATTTACATCTTTCATGTCAACATCAGCTGAGGTAGCAACATCCGTCGTCGCGACATTTGTAGTTGCTTCTTCCCGTTCATTTATTTCTTTTTCCCCCTCCTTTTCTTCCTTATTTTCTTTTTCGATTTCTTTTCTTTTCTCATTTACATTCTTCATATCAACATCAGCTGAGGTGGCAGCGTCCGTCGTCGCGACATCTGTAGTTGCTTCTTCCCGTTTAATTATTTCTTTTTTCCCCTCCTTTTCTTCCTTATCTTCTTTTTCGTTTTCTTTTTTTTTCTCATTTACATCTTTCATGTCAACATCAGCTGAGGTAGCAGCATCCGTCGTCGCGACATCTGTAGTTGCTTCTTCCCGTTCATTTATTTCTTTTTCCCCCTCCTTTTCTTCCTTATCTTCGTTTTCGTTTTCTTTTCTTTTCTCATTTACATCTTTCATGTCAACGTCAGCTGAGGTAGCAGCATCCGTCGTCGCGACATCTGTAATTGCTGCTTCCCGTTCATTTATTTCTTTTCCCCCCTCCTCTTCTTCCTTATTTTCTTTTTCGTTTTCTTTACTTTTCTCATTTACATCTTTTATATCATCGGCTGAGGTAGTCTCCCCACCCTTAGTAGCAGCACCCGTTATCGCGACACCTGCAGTTACTTCTTCCCGTTTAAAGTCTTTTTCACTATCCTTTTCTTTATTTACTTCCTTTTTTTCTTTTGCCTTTTCCTTTTCTTTCTCAATTTCATTTACTTTCTCTTTTTCAAATTCGTTTTCATCCTTTAATTTTAATTTCTTTTGTCCTGATTCTACCTCCGACTTTTCTCCAATACCAGGCTTAGTTCCTGGAGGTGGAAAATACAACTGCAATAAAACCTCATAAACATCCTTATTTTCGATTTCAAATACGCAAAATATAATCCTATCAATCTGTTTTTAAATAGTGTAAAGATAGGAATAAGTATCATATTGTAATAAAGAATTTCGTAAGCATAGAGATGAAATGAAACCTTATCCAAGTTTTGATGTCCTTCCAACCATTTTCTTATGGTCGATAAAGCAACATGTGCAGCACTCGAACGTGGATATCCGTAGACACCTTTTTATTAAATAAAATACCAAGGTGAATCATAGAATCGTTAAAAATTATTCTTTTTTTTTTAATAAAAAAAAAAATAAAAAAAAAATGATGAAACTTACCCGTACTAATATTTGAAAATGCCTAAATTTATATTATCAAATGATTATTAATAAAATATTTTTTTAAAAAAAAAATATACGTATATTTTGTTTGGAATTTTATATTATTTATACCCACTATGCTCTTTAAATTATTTTCAGTCATGACTTCCAAGGACCGAATATAAGCACTTTGAAGAAGATCGGGTTTTTCCCCTATGGGACCGACAGTGTGAATGATATCTAAATAAATAAAATTTGTAAATGCAATGTTCGATAAAAATCATATTTAAAAACAATTTTAAGACTTACACTTAGCTGGCAAGTCATAACCTAAAATATAAACAATTTATATATAAACTAATTTAAAATCATTAAAATTACGTAATTGAATAAGCAATCTTTTTTACCTTTAGTGATCTTGGCATCCTGAACGTTTAATTAAAGGCCGATAAATATATTTGTTTTTTTTTTAAAAAAAAAAAAAAAGATAAACAAAATAAATAATCAATTGTGGTCACTTACTCCAGTATCGCAACCATCAAGATTCCAACACGCTCTTCTCAGTTCAGGTCCCGCAGCTCTAAAATTACAAATAAAATGAATCACAGATATATTGAATGTATGTATTCAATGCTCAAAGTCTTAAATTTACCTGTGAATTGCACCATCAACTAAATACCAAATCATCATTAAAAATTAAAAAGATTTTAAATTATTTTCATTAAAAAAATCAGAAAATAATTTACCTCCTCCGCCCCCCAAGAGTGATCCATTTGCAGCGTTGACTTAAAAATAACGTAAAATAAAGATTCATTATTTAAATATGATAACGAAAAACTGTCATGATTTATATCATTCGTTGTTCAAATGTTGAGTCTAATATACCTATAGCATCAATTTTCAATTTTGTGATATCTGCTTGGCTTCAAGAATATAAATACATATAAGTAACAACATTAGATAAAGTAAAATTCTTAGTAATACTATACAAAAGAAACTCACACTAGAGATATCTTTTCATTGAATATTTCGTTATATTCATTGTAAGGGGATACTTCAAGTATTAACAGTATAATAAAACTTTAGTATGCCACTTGTAAATAAAACAATTCCGATATAGCACTTCTTTACATGATGCAGCCCTTTTTATGTTACGCGATGAAATATTCCCTTTCTCATAAATTTGCTTTAAGGTGGGAATTCTTTCTAATTCGATATACATATTTCGTTTTGACATAGAGGGGACTATTATTCTCTGAAAAACAAAATGACTTTGTTTTACTGAAGCACAAAACAACGTAATCCGACAGATCATATTTTATCAATATTTTATTAGAAGATGTATGTAAATCATTACTCATAGATACCTCATTTATCGTCGTACGAATTCAAAAAAAAAAAAAAAATGTAAAATATGCCATTATATATATACAAATAATATACTATTTTTTGTTTATAAAAATACTAATTAATGCAATTGTTTCATTATATTTAATGTACTACCACATTAGTAATCAGTCAACAACTAAAACGGAAGATATTAAATTGTTGCTTTTCGGTTTTTCATTTGTTAAATCGTTTTGGGAGAATGAACAATCAGTTGGTGACGATGGTGTTGATGACGACGACGATGATGATGATGATGAAAGATTATTGCCAACCCAAGATTCTTGCGAGAATAGAACTAAGGCTCGACGTGCTTTGTCGATCTTTTATAGAGAACATAAATTAGTTAAGATAATATGAATGTTTATAAATAAAAATATACACATACTCGACGGGCCAATCTTCCAACATTTCCATCGATTGCAACAACTTGCCAGGCGAAATCTATACCGAACATCATTTTAATTCCATAAACAATACGTTTAGCATGCACTTCTTTCATTAATAAATAATCATCTCTAGTCGTGTATGGAATTAGATTAGGATTTGAATCAAGAGCTCTCTGCACCAAAGTGAGAACAGTTTGCTCAATTGTTGGAAGATCTGACGCATATTTGGGTGTTATTGCTAAATATTGGATATATAGAAATTTTGTTAACAAAAGTCAAATTCTATAAATAACCACGATTCTTTAAAATAAAAAAAACAAACAAACAAACAAACAACTTTAAATGTTTAACGTACCAACAATTTCGAATGGTTGTGATATCACCATAACACCATGGCTATTGTCATGGTGATACCTAAATTCATAAGTGCCTACTTCCCATGGTAATTGATCTCCTTTAAAACATGCATTACCCGTTTCCGGCTGATCATCAATGTCCGTTGTTGTTGAATTAACACTTGTATCAATATCATCCTCTTCTGGCGATACATAAACATAACGACCCCTACTTGATACACTAGTCACTTTCTTTGATGAATTTGCGGTGACCTTATATATACCAATCCAATCTAAACGAGAATGGGTTCTTGGTGCAGTCCACTTGACACATATAGGTGAACCTAATTCAAATGTAATTGGTTTCGCGTTTAGATTACGACTGTCATTATTGTCACCAGTAGGTGAAACCGGACTATTTGGTGGTGAATGGTTCATTTCATCTGAAGGAAGAGATAATGATATTGAATATTGTTCAAGAGTTTGACGATCTATTTTTCCAGCAACTTGACTGAAAAACAGATATGGAATGTATCAGAATTAGTGATTTTAATATACAAAAAGAAAGGAATGGATATTTATGAATTCGATTATCTACCTTATGAAGAATGCACTCGTTGAATTAGATAATAAGCATCGAGTCTCTTTCACTACATCTTTAAATCGAGGCCTTGCGGCATCGACAAATTCAACTAAAACTTCGACTGTTTCTTCGACAACTTTTTCAACCGTTTC